TTTTTTTCCGGCTCATTTAAATTGCAAAAAATGCTTTAAGCCCTCTAAATGTTAGCTCTGGAGGGACAAAGGTTCAAATATTCCGTAACTATGTTGGTTACTTGCATTTTATGTTGTTACACCAGACCCGGCTGTCTGATAAACTGTTGCGACAGGTATAATATTTTTAACGGGTTATGACGGGTATAACATTTATCGATAAGTTTGTGTTAGAGAGACGTTCTTATGTTTCTTGCGTCAACATCATCGAGCTTTTTGTCTGTCGATTGTTTTGCGTTTTGTATGATATTGTACGGTTTTGTTAAGGCAAAGCATTGTACTCTTGCTCTGAATGTAGGAGTTCTTCCTCTGATTGTTCATCCGGCTTTATGCCGTGGTCTTCACTGCTTCTATTTGCGATGTCGTCAAATTTGTTTTGAGACTGCTTATAGTCCTTCTTTCGTTAGGAGGCTCGTAGCCTTCTTTTAAACGACTTAACAATTCAATTTAAGTCTGAAAATTAGTGTTAGATTTCCAACTTACTTGCTGAAGCACCTCTTGTTCTGATCTGTTAGTAGAAATTAACATACCGAGATATTTTATCCTCTGCCCTTCTACAGTTTTAAGTTTAACATGGTACCTAAAGATGTCGCCAACCCGGAGGAATAAGTTTCGTTAAAATGCATTGTGGCTCGAATGTGATCGTAACTAAAACACCACACGAGTACACACGAGTACATACCAATGACATTCGAATACAAATCAGTAACATACAAGTACATACGAGTAACATTCGGAGACATAAAGAATCAAACGGTAACATACAGGTTACTTACGAATACATTGGTTACTTAACAAATAAAGAAGCCTAACCCGTGTATTTCACTGTGATAAAACGCGACAGGCATTTGAGAACATGAGGGAAATGTAGAAAACACGATTCGCAGGTGAGTGTTTTCTACATTTCTCGAGTGTTCTCAAATGTCTGGAGTGTTTTATCACAGTGCAATATACGGCTTAGGCTTCTTCATTTGCTTTATGAGCAAATTCCCACAAAAATCAAACAAAATCAAATTCCTTCGGCAAGGCTAGAAAATTCAAATTCACTCGTCTTTTGCATATAACTAGCTCCTAGCAAGAATGCAAACAGGCTGTAGTTTTTTCCTTGAAATAGCTTTGTCTTTCCGAGAAAAACGACATTTTCGATTTAACCTTCAGACTTAATTTTATGCAATTTAGCCAGTCCCAACTGGCTGAAAATCGGCTGAAAATCAACCATTTTCATTCGATTCGCATTTCGCAACCATTGAGCGCAGAAAAGTTGTGATACAAACAGCTTATTGCAGAACTATTCCTGGTCTAGAAAAGGACAATTTCAAAAATATTGGATTATTCTAATCATTTGACGGTAAACAAAACCAGAGTGTTCTCCAAAATTGAGTTAGTCAGTCGGTGAAAAGGATTGTCATTTTGACCATGTGCCATGTCTCACATGGCACATCGAAACGTCGGTTAACAATACTTTTAATCTTCTTTGAAAAATAAAAAATGCCCGACAATTTAAGTTCAAGTTTTTTGATCCCCCTCTCCGCAAAAACTATGAACTGAAGATCAACAGAACAACAACAACAACAACAACAAAAAGAACCGATGATTAAGATTGGGAAACTGTAAGATGGGTAAAAATAAACTTGTTTCATGCTGAAAGACAGAACAGAAAAAAGCGAATGCTACAGCGATTTTGGCACGCGAAATGATCTATTCTCGCTTAAAGAGGAACTTAGGCCTATTTTAAGAGAATTTTATATCAATAATTATATTACCTGGAGTATTTTGGTTTGCATAAATCTTACCCACGTGAAATATTTTTATTAAAAAATCGATCCAAAGTTTNAGAACAACAACAACAACAACAAAAAGAACCGATGATTAAGATTGGGAAACTGTAAGATGGGTAAAAATAAACTTGTTTCATGCTGAAAGACAGAACAGAAAAAAGCGAATGCTACAGCGATTTTGGCACGCGAAATGATCTATTCTCGCTTAAAGTGGAACTTAGGCCTATTTTAAGAGAATTTTATATCAATAATTATATTACCTGGAGTATTTTGGTTTGCATAAATCTTACCCACGTGAAATATTTTTATTAAAAAATCGATCCAAAGTTTCGCGAATGACCCGCCATCTTGATTTTGGAATGCGGGAGCTCAAACGGTCAGCGGAACGTCGACTGACGTCATATCGTGAAACACGATTGCACGAAGTTCGCGGGCTTTTCAGTCGCAAAATTTTAGGAGCTGAGCTCATGAAATACTTATGTAGTTTTGTTTCCATATAATCTCGCTGTGGAACAGTGATAATGGTCCGCTGCTGCGTGCCTGGTTGTATTAACCATTCAACTAAGACGTCTAAGATAAGTTACCATCGCATTCCCAACGATAAAGGATTACAAAAAGCCTGGTTAGCGAGGATCGGAAGGGATACTCTTCCTCCATTACAAAACTGTTATGTGTGCAGTGAACATTTTAACGACGACTTGAAAGCACAGTTAATGCCCGAGCTAAAGGTCAAAAGATGTCTTAAACGTGATGCGATACCCTCGGTGTTTTCTTTCGGGCCTGAACCGAAGAAACCTAGAATAAGTAGCGAGAATCGTGAGAGCCGGCAGCGAGCAGAAGAGTTACGACAAGAGGTGAGTGTCGAATGTCGAACTCAGACTTGTATTTTTCTCAAATGTAATAAAATTTCCTGCACTTAAATTCTTGTCTAGTAGTATTTTGTCTTCTTTATTACTTCAAATGGCACTATCCTCATCAGTCGATCGATTAACGGTGAAGCGTTATATAGTGTATTTACACTAGTTGTATTAATTTGATTGCTAGGTGGCATTTTCTTGCTCTTACGATCTTTCGAGCTGTGCCGCAAAGCACCGGTTGTATTGATTTGATGGCTGTGACTAAATAAATTCTCAGTCAGTGAGTACCTTGGTATGCATTTTAAAATGCCAAATTCTTGTTCTTAAGATTTTTCGAGACGTGCCACAAAGCACTCCAACAGAAGGAGCTTGCATCATTATTGAAGAACCAGCTGAATCAGCCAGTTCAATGGCAACCAGCCCAGGGAATTTAAATGTTTCTTCGCAAGATGCGAGTACTCAGTGTTGTGTGGGAGCAAAGTTTCTGATTACCCGTTCTGAGTACACACAAACTGATCCCGTAGTTTCAACACCAGTGACACAGCAAGTCAAGACTTTTACTGATACTGGGACACAGGTTGAGATAATCAAGGAATCTCCTGATGGTGCTAACCCTGGCCCTTCTGGTCACAGTAGCCATGCAAAAGACGAAAAGGAAAAAATTGTGAGGGAATTTACCCTGGCTTTCGACCTGTTGATTGCGATAAATTTGACAAAAAGAAACAAGGATCGGAAGAAAATATAAACACTGACAGTAAACCAAAGAAACTTACCCTGTTTGAACAAGTCTAT